AACAACCCAATTGTTCTAACACATTAACAATGGTTTATCGATGGTAAACTTCAGAAGTACCCCTTTCGATGTTATGTTCATGGATTTTATCTGAAGAAAACTTTATATGTAATAACTCATTCTGATGACTTCTTTTGTCATAAAAACCATTACAGAGAAGGGATACGAAGCAGCTTTACGAGCAGACAAAAATTTTGTTTTGTTTTTCTCCGGAAACCCTAAATTCCAATTTTTTTTTAAAAAAAATACGGTTAAATCATAACCGAGTTTGATTTTTAAACCGATTTAATTGAACCAAATCGATGACGTGTCTACTCACATGGAATCATATCTTCTTATTTTTCTTAGGTGGCACGGCATATTGATATTGATTGTGTGGGTAATTGGAAAAATTTGAAATCAAATGTGGTTTATTATCGAATTAAAAATTGGTGTATTGATCTTACACATTCGAATAAATTGATTCTAATAAATTGACATGGGTTTATATCATTTCCCTTTTTTTAATTTATAACCTGTAATAACGGAGTTGCTTTCAGCAATTGTCAAACATCATATGCTATGGAAGCTAAGCTGCATATCAAAATTACGGTTTAGTGCGTGATAATTTGGACGAATTCTTTTATCTATCCGAAAAAATTAAATTTTGGGAATTCAATATTTATATTATATATGCAAAAAAAAATTCTATTTTTTGTTTGCCAAATTATCCATTCCCCAAATCATCAGACATCACACATAATATGCAACTCTGGCTTACCATTTTACCTTTTCTTCCCTTGCAACTCGGTTAGAAACCATGATGATGCTCTCTGTCCCCTTCACAAACCCATCTCAGGTCCAATCTCTTGTCTGAGAAATTGTGGTCTGTTTCATGAAATCTTTTGCATTTCAAACTGTAGAAGCCAGGTCTTCGTCAAAACCCGCTGGGAGAATCGGAGGCTTTCGAAGCCTCGGACCGAAGCAGAGGGTTTGAGGGGTGTTATGGTAAAAGTGTAAGGGCGAGAGTATAAGCCCTAGGGTTTGTTCTTTTCTCCTTTCTTCAGACGGTGTTCGCGTTTTTCGGTTTCTCTCTCTTGCGGTGGCGATCTCTCGTCTCCGTGTGTCGGTGCCGATTTCGATCGGAACTCCGGCGGTTGTACCTAGCAAATAGCGGTTCCCTCTTCCCGAGACGTAGGCACCGAGCGTTAGAGCTCGGTACCGAACTCGTACATCGCTATCTCGCATCTCTCTCTCTTTTCTTGCACACGAGTGGTTGAGATCGGAGTGTTCTGTGAGGTTTACGGAGGTCGAAATACTCTACAAGTGGTATCAGAGCCTGGTTGACGGCGAGGCTCGGCGGATCTGCGGCGGAAATCGCCTGAGGTAAGTCCGAGGTAAGGTCAGATCTGACTTCTCTGATTCTGGTGTCTTCATCTGTTTCAGGAACCGAATCGGTGGAGAAACGGCGAAGCAGGAGCCATCTCGTGTCGAGATCGGCGACGGTCACCGGCAGAGGAGCTCAGATCGGCGGTGCTAGAGAAGGTAGGTTCCGGATCTGACTCGGCCTGAGTTACTCAGCCGAGTACAGAGTCCAAGGAGGTGAGTTCGCTCTATTTCTGGTTAGGTCTAGGGTTCGGGGGGGAGAAATCGGTGAAAACCGGTGGTTCCCGGTGAGTCTTGGCCGTGACTCGTTCGAGTCGCGACTGAGTCGTCTTCGGGGTTGAGTCAACGTCCGAGTTGGCTCGGGTTAACTCGGCGGCTTCCGCGTTCCGAATTAGGGTTTTCGGTTCTGATCCGGTTTAGCCGGTTCAACCGAAATTGTCTAATTGAACCGGGTTCGATTTAAAATCGAACCGGTTTAGTCGGGTTAGGTCAAACGTTGACCAATTTCTGGTCAACAGTTGACCGGGTTAGGAAAACCGGATCGGTTCAGGTCAATTGAACCGGTTCAGGTCCGGTTTGGGGTCAATTGGACCGGTTCAAGTCAATTTAGGTCCGGTTCGGGATAACCCAGACCGGTTTAGGTCAATCTAGGACCGGTTTAGGACAATAGAGTCCGGTTTAGGTCAATTTAGATCGGGATTGGGCCGGTTTTAGGTCTGATTAGGTCTGATTTGTC